AGAGACTAGAGAGACCACTGCCATGACCAGTCCTCACATCTCGCTGCTTAACCGAGTACAGTGCTGGATTTAGGAGCTACAGCTGTAATTCCTGATCTGCAAACGTTTCCTTCCCTCCCTCCCAGGAGCTATTCCTGACTCCGCAGCTCCCAGTAAGTGCCAGAAGCCTCCTTCCACCTGCACCACCAGACAGTGCCCTGGAATCTGGAACTTCACAGAAGGGAAAGGACCGTTTGCAGTGAAAATGCAGGGGTTCTATCAATCAGAGGTGCCCAATGTGCTGCCCCTGTCCCCGGAGCTGCTGTGTCCGGACCCTGCGGGGATCCCAACGGGACCGCGCCGGGAGAGGCAAACCTGGATGCTCACACGTGGAACAGGTTCAGAATCAAACAGCGTATTTTGGTCTTTATTCTAACAAATGATACAACCAAAAGTTACTGTTAGTGAAGGAAAGTTAAAAACATGGACCCGGACAACTGGTAAAATGCAAAAAAAGTGACATTTGTTTTCCATGATCGTTACAAATTGTAAGGAAAAGAAAGGTGAAACTGCAGCATTACAGGAGGTTTGTTAACACAGGTCAAATAACGCAGTTCTCCTCGATGAGCTACAAACCAAGAACAAAGACATTTAAAAAACCCGGACACTTGCTTGGAATATCGGCTCAACACGGCGGGATTCCAGCACGGATCGATCCAGAGGGGTTTGGAACAGATCATTTCAACACACATAAACCAAGAGTAAAGTGAGTACAGTGACTGGAACAGCAGCTCCTTGGAAGGAAAAAGAAAACACATTCCCTTTGCCACCAATTAAAGCACAAGTTTGGAAGACCAGGAAAACAGTTTGGTTGAGAGACAACCCCAGGATTCTTCTGCTGTAATTTCTTATTTCAGTTTAGCAAAATGAACGGCTGGTTTTTAGTGTCTGCTCAGGGAAGAACCTCGCAGCCATCAGGGAAGTGGTGAGATCAGAGCAGCTGCTTGGACTCGAGGTGGTTCCCACCAGCCCTGGTTGGAGGTCTCTGGCTCCAGAGCCATCACTCAGCACCGGGTCAGCTTCCCCTCGCCCCACCAGTGCCACCCGGCGCCTCGGCTGGGTGATGCTCACCAGACCCCTGCGAGTTCCCTTCTCCGCCCCTCGTGTTAGGCTGGATGGCACCAGACACCTCGTCCAGCGTGTCCACAAAGGTGGGTTTAATCACCCAGGTCCTCCCTTTCCAGGTATCCGGTTGCAACAAGTCCCTAATCCCTGCACAAGCCAAATAAACAGGTTAAAGCTGACAGGCTCCTCGTCGGGCGGTGATGAGACCAGAGACAACCGCTCCACAGGGAACCAAACCTTCCCTCAGCACCCAGCGTGGGCTGAAGGGGAAAACCAAAACTGAGATTCTGCCAGATCAATCCTGCCCAAGGAAACACGTTCCCAGAGGATACCCCAGCAGGAGACAGGACGAGGCGGAGGAAGCGGTGCCCACAGCACTGCTGCGGGGGGGTTCTCCCCACGCTCCTCACCCACCCGTGGTGCGGGCGCGCAGACACCTCCACACTGACAATACAGTGTCCAACGGCACAACCCCTGCAAGCAAAACACATCCGAGTGCAGGAAAGGGCCCGACGGCCCCGCACACCGTGCCCCGAGCGTCCCTGCGCCCGGCGGTGCC